AAATAGATAGATTCCTGGATACATATGAATTCAAATCTAAAATTCAACCAAGAAGATATAAAAAGCCCACATAATCCAATAACAGGAAGTGAAATTGAAGCAGTAATGAAAACCTACCAACTAACAAAAATGCAGGTCTTGATGGGTTCACTGATAAACTGGGTAACAACATCAAGAAAGATCTAATGCAAATATTCCTCAAACTCTTAATTTTTTGAGATGGGGTGTCACTATGTAGTTCAGGTTGGGCTTGAATTCACTATATCGCCCAGGCTGGCCTCAAACTCAAGCTGATCCTCCTGTCTCAGTCTCCTGAGTTCTAGAGTTATAGGCATGCACCACCATGTGTGGCTGTCCTCAAAATTTTAAAGAAATCAAAAGGGAATGTGTATTCCCAAAGTCATTTTTTGAAGCTAGCATTATTCCAGTTCCAAAACTAGACAAGCATCCAACCAAAAAAGAGAACTATTGGTTGATCTCTTTAATATAAACATAGATGCAAAAATCTTCAACAAGGTACTGACAAACAGAATGCAACAAATTATTAAAGAGGTCATACATTATAAGCAAGGAGCCTTTATCCCAGAAGTGCAAGGATGGTTCAACATAAGCTACTCAGTAAACAGAAGCAAGAACAAAAATCACATGATCATCTCAATGGATACAAGAAAAAATCTTTGACAAATTCAACATCCATTTATGACAAAAACCCTGAAGAAAAAAGGTATAGAAAGAACTTATCTCAACTTGGTAAAAAGCCATTTATGTCAGAACTTTTAAAAACAGGAACAAAATCCCTGTCAAATCAGGAATAACACACAGATTTTCACTGTCAGCACTTCTGTTCAATATTGTACTCAAAACATTAACCAGAGCAATCAAGGTAGAGAAATAAATAAAAAGGATATATGTAGAGAAAGAAAAAAGTCAAAATACCATTATTTGCAAATGACATGATCCTCTACTGTCTCGGTTAATTTTCTCTCGCTGTTGAGACAAAATACCTCACACCTAACATGAAGGAAGGAAAGGCTTATTTCTTACAGTTTTTGGAGGTTTCAATCCTTACTCAGCTGGCTCCAAGGCAGAGTGGCATTGCTGAGGGGCAGTTATTCATGGCAGCTGCAAGCTGCAAGAGTGAAAGGGCAACAAGGAAAGTGTACCTCCTTCCTACCCTAACATTTTTTGTTGGCTCTCCACCTCTTGGCGGGTACAGCACTCACACCACCAATCCCAGTGCTAGAAAATGAACCAATCACAAATGTTGGATTCAGCACCCTCCAGGATTGCATGAGGCTTGTGGGGGTAGGGAGGGGGAAGTGCATCTGAATACAAACCATAACTTCTACATAGATGATCATAAATTCACTAGTGTAGCAAATACAAAGTCAACACACACAAAACATCATTGTTCCTATACACTAATAATGAACTCACTGAAAGAGAAATTAGGGAAATAATACCTTTCACAATAGCATCAAAAGAAAGAAAATACTTAGGAATTAACCTAACCAAGGAAGTGAAACACCTCTATAAGGAAAACTATAGTATTCTGAAAAAGGAGATCAAAGAGGAAATAAGAAAATGGAAAGATATAACATTTTCCTGGACAGATAGCACCAACAGAGGCAAAATAACCATAATTCTAAACCAGACATATAGAATTAATTCAATCTCAATCAAAATACCAACAGCACTCCTCACAGAACTGAAGAAAAGTATTCTAAAATTCATATGGAACCAGAAGAGACCCAGAATAGCAAAGGCAAGTCTAGATAATGAGAGCAAAACAGGAGGCATCACAATTCTCAGATCTGATGTTGTATTCCAAAGCTATGTGATACAATCAGCTGATCCTAGCACAAAAACATATATGAGAATCAATGGAATAGAACAAAAGATGCAGAAACAACCCCAAGTGCATTTGGCTATTTGATCTTTGACAAAGGGACCAGAAATATACACTGAAGAAAAGATAGCCTCCTTAATTAATGGCTCTGGGAAAACTGGCTATCTACAGGCAGAACAGTGAATATAGATGCATATATCCCCCATGTACTAGACTAAAAATGGATAAAAGTTCTAAATGTTAAAACAGAAACATCTACCGTACTAGAAGATAAAATTCTTGAAGACACACTGGCATATGGTTCTGAACAGAACCTCATATTGCACAAGAAATAGTACCAAGAATCAACAAATGGGATCATAATACTAACAAAATACCACACAGCAGAGCACAGCACAGCAATGGAAATAACCAACAGAGAGAGGAGACAATCTACAGAGTGAGAAAGTGTTTTTCCAGTTATTCCTCAGACATAAGACTAGTATCTAGAATACATAAATAACTCAAAAATTAAACCACCCGAAAATGAATAGGCAGTTTTAATAACAAATACAAATGGTTAATAAATGAAAAATATTCAACATCACTGGTTATCAGAGAGATGCAAATTACTACAACATTGGAAATCTATCCCATTCCAGAAATAATGGCCATCATCAAGAAATGAAATAATAACCAATATTTGTGAGGTTGCATGGAGAAAGAAACCTTTCTGCATTGTTTATGGAAATGTAAACTGATGGCAACCACTATAGAACTTAGTATGGAGATTCATCAAAAACCTAAAACAAGAAATTCCATTTGACCCAGGTATTTTCCTTCTAGGTATCTTCCTGAAAGAGATAAAGTATAATAATAGTTACATAGGCATACTCATGTTTATAGCAGAACAATTTATCTTAGATGCAGCCTATCTGTCCATAAACTGATGAATGGATAAAAATATGTTGTTATTTACACACAGTAGAGAATTACTTTGTCACAAAAGATAAATGTGAGTGGCTTGTAGGAAAATGGGTGCACCCTGAGACATTAATGTTAAATGAAATAAATTGGATCTGCAAGTTTAAATACTACATTCTCCTATACATGAGTATATGACAAACCCAAAATATAAATAGAGAGCAAAATAAATGATAGTAGGAAGGAGGGAGATAGACTTTGTTCAAATGGGAAGGGGATCAAGAGATGGAGGCAAGTGGGAGAGATGGGAAAGAGGATGAAAAAGATAATTGAGATCTTTATGTATATGCACCAGCTCCCAACAAGAAATGTAATCAGTATATAATGCAAACATGTACTACTAAAAACTCAAAACTGAAAAAAATTGACATTGTTTTGTAACTATTTTATAGCAAATAATCACATCTATAGTAATTGTAATTTCTGTGACAGTTTTTTTTTAAAGAAAAACTGTTTATTGGTTTTCAAACCATTTTTAAGGTGGAAAAGAAAGCTTATTGACTTTACAAGCACATGGTTTTCCACTATTGCATAACATAATTTAGCCAAGAATAGTGACACACTGCAATGGAATTCTTTGGGGGGGGGGACACAGGTGTACAAGATCTAGCCACATAGTTCAGACTTAAATTCACTGTGTAGTGCAGGCTGGCCTGGAATTCACAGCAACCTTTCTGCTTTAGCCTCCCAAGTGCAGGGATTATAGGTGTGCACCACCATGACCACCTTGCAATGCTTTTTATTATAGTAAAAATCTGGAAGCAGTTTAAGCATCCAAAATTTGGCCAAGTTTTAAAAAATCATGGCTTATTAGTACTAAAGAGACCATTAATTATATAGAAAACTTATACTATGTTTAGCGAAAAGAACATTACAAAATATACCTAAGATTCTATCTTGTTTAAAAATATTTATGTGATAGCTGGGCATAGTGGTACATATCTGTCATCACAATACTTTGAGAGTCTGAGGCCAGAAGATTGAAAACTGAGCACAACCTGGGCAACTTAGCAATTTAGTGAGAGTCTGTCTCAAACTAAAATAAATAAATAAATTAGTAAATGGCTGTGAATGTTGCTCAGTGCTTAGTGCTTAATGCAGAAGACCTTGAGTTCAATTCCCAGTACTGCGTAAAATAAAAATATAAATATAAATATAAAATGAGCTAGTTATGGCGGTACATGACTTCAGAGTACTCTGGGAGGTTGAGGCAGGAAGATCGAAAGTTCCAGCCCAGGCTGAGCAATTTTAGACTTAGGGAGACCCTGTCTCAAAACAAACAAACAAACAAACCAAACATCAAAAAACACATAATTTAACCTTTTCGTAAGAAGTATCCTTTACAGTTCTGTGAAAGGGCTTTTCATTTTATAATTATTAATTTAAAAATATGTTAATCTCATTTACAACAACTTATTTTAATTTTTAGTACATATGTTTTTATTTTTGAAAGGGAGATACTCTTTTGAATGGAGCTAAAGCTTTTAGACATATTCCAAAATATTTATAAAACTACTCACTGTTGAAATCACTTCAAAAATGGTGGTTAACAACTGTTAATTTTAAAGCAATGTATCACATATTCTGTTAATCTGTGAATTTAACTATGATCTTTAATTGAAGTATCAGAATTGGTTTTTTTTAAATATTAATTTTGCTGGGCGTGGTGGCACACACCTGCAATCCCAGCACTCAGGAGTCGGAGTAAGGAGGATCCTTGCGAGTTTGAGACCAGCCTGGACTAGAAAGACCTTCCCAAACTGCATAGCGAGTCCCTGTCTCAAATACGAAAGCTTCCATGGAATCTATAAATAGTTTAGTTGTGGAACAGCGTCTTATTTCTTTGATGAAGTTCAATAAATCATCTTTGCGACCAAAAGATATGTACTCTGTGGTTAGTTGCCATATTTTATAGATGTTAGCACTTTTGTTTAAAATTAGATTTTTTTTTAGGTTTATGCTCCTGCGTCCTCTGCCCTGCAACTGAAACCCGTATATATAATAAATTCCCCACATCTGTCTTGCCTAGCTTCCACGGATCCTGAAGTCACTGCCTCCCATGTCCTTCATGTATAGCGTCCTTGAAAGACAAGTAACTGTGGTGTCAATCGATCACTCTGATACACTTTTCTATTATTCTAGTCTTGCTGCCTGGTCTGCTGAAAAGCGAATCTGAGTTCTCAGGCTCGGCTTTTGTTTCATTATGCCTGAATCAGACTGCTGAGGGATTGGGTCGCCAGAATTGCACGTGGGTTTAGGCTGGATAATGGCGGGCGCTGGGGAGGATACGCTAGGGCTCTTTAGAGCTGGGGTTCGCGTGGCGCTGGAGGCCTGGCCCGCTTTGCAGGTGAGTGAAGCCTTGGTAGTATCAAGGTTAGGGCCCGGGGCAAAATAAAAATTGGGCGGTTTAAGCCACAGACACTCAGGCCACCCTCAGCCGCTTACCACACTGATATAGGTGCGGACCTATGTTTGTAGATCGCTGTGGAGAATGGTTTCGGAGGCGTACACAGCCGGGAGAAAGCCGAGTGGCTGGGGAGTGCAGTGGAGGATTACTTCATCCGCAATGGTGAGTGCGTGTGAGAAGTTGTGATCTGTGTGCATTGGGGCGTGGAGTGGAAAAACAATCTGGAGACATAGCGCTTCCGCCTGAGCAGTTTTGGTTGGTACCTGAAGGCCAGGTGAGTTGAAGACACACTTTGGAGTCATAATTCTGGCCTTAAAAACCATAAGGTTGGGCCACTATTTCATGCTATCGCCCTGGACAAGGCGTTTTATTTTCCCGAGATTCAGTTTCATAATTTCTAACGCGAACATTGAAGTGTCCACCTCAGTGCTGTACAGTAAAGTGTGTCATATCATGTAACTTAAAAATTGTTGGGGCAGGTTGTAGCTCGGGGGTAGAGTGTTTGCCTTAAAATGCTCAAGGCCGTGGGTTCCATCTCCTGCACCACAAAATAAATAGGAAGCATTCACTTTTAATAAAGTAAAAGTAAGCCAATGAGACTAATGTTATTGAACTCATAGCCAAATGTTTCAAGATGTCATACATGTAAAATATTGAAATATTTTACTTTAGTGTTTTCAAAATCTATCATTTTACAGTTTTAGCATATCTGAATTTGGCCTAGCCACAGTTCAGTTGCTCTGCAACCACATGTGGCTATTTGGGTAGTAAAGGTCTACACCTTATGCTTGTCTTGAAGGTTATTCAGAACAAGGAGTCAAGCGAGTACTATGGAAGGCCTGTTGCCTATTATGGTTTTTACAGTGTTCTTCATTTTCTGGCCTTGTAGATGTTACTTCTCAGTAACAGATTCAGAAAAAAAAAGGATAGTTACGACACTGGGTTATAAATATGATTAAAAGGACCTAAGAGTTCTTGAGGTAACCTGAGCTTGAGGAGGTGGCTTCTTAGAGGAAGTATTAGGGCTGGGTCTTAAGGGGTGAAAAGGAATTAACTGGATTGGGAGGCAGATAAAGCAACATTCAGTGACTTAGTGGTATGAAGAAATAATGTATTTGGAAAGTGGTGGAAGGCTGTATTGTAAGGGTGTCAAGGTGGGGGAGGAAGAGTAGTAGAGAATGTAGCTGGGGGAGTAGGGAGACCCTCCCCCAAAAAAGGTAAGACATGGAAGGCCTTATGTGCCTTTGATTTTATTCTTTGGGCCAGTCTTTGCCAAAATTCATACTATATAAGACTTGTATAGTTAGATGTTAAGTGAAGAAAAAGCTTTCTTCAGTTAAATTATGTAAGCTTTTTTTTTAGCTCCAACTTAAGAGTTACACAACACATGAACAAAGCATGAATAAGGATAAGAAGCAACAAAGAGAAACCTGTTTGTCTTTGTTTCTTTCTATGGATAGCTTCCCTTAAAACCCAGTAGAACACATATTTTCCAAAGCAAACTATGAAACACTACACTAAGTGATAAAAATTCATGGGTAGATTCTCGAGTGAGTAATAGGATGGAATTTGCTGACTAAAAGGTTCAGAGAGTAATCAGTGTAGAGCATGTAGTGAGGAGAGAAAAAGTGATGTGAAGACTGTTTTGGTGTTGAAAATGAAAACTAAAATAGGGCAATGGGTCATGGAAAAGAAGGTGGATTAAGGCATTGAAGAGTGCTTGGCTGTAGAGGAGGGAAGGAAAAAGAGGCCAGTTCCTGGTTTGAGTGGCTGTGTGAAGTGGTGCTTTTCATGGAATAGAAGAACTCTGAAGTGTAAGACGCAGGTTTTTAGTGTAAAGTGTTAATTGACTTTAGGTATGGTAAAAGGAAGGCTGAGGCCCTTGGGAAACATCTGGGCACACAAATAGTCTCACAATTAGCTGGAGACTGATTAGGTTTGAGTGGTAGGGAATAAGAAGTAGATGTATAAACTCTGTCAAGGAGAGAATATAGCAGGAAGAGAGGGTTAAAAATTTCATAGACTTTCTTGAGTTATTCTCTAATTCAGAAAAGGTCAAAACCATGGGACTACAAGGTAACTAAAGCTGAGGCAGGAGGTCTATACCAGAGCCACACAGTACAATGTTGGTGTCAAGGTTTGTGATGATTTCATTATTGGAAATAACCAATCTATTTCTTATCTATTCCATTCGTCTGTGGAAACCTATGTCAGTGGAACCATACTTGTAAATGGTCTTCAAAATGTCTCAGAACTTTCAGCCCAACGAAATTAACATGCATAAAGGATCTTCCTGTCCCAGGCACTGTGCTGGGTGACAGCTTGTAATAGACCTTCAAGGAAGCTATTATTAGTTCTACTTTACAAATAAGAAAACAGGACCAGAGATGTGTAAATAGCTTGTTCAAGATCACAAAGAGGGGCAGCCAGTCAGAATGGTCCAGATAAAAAAGAGTTCTCTAGTGAATAAAAGATTCATTGTTTGGGATTTTTACCACAAACCAGGTGGGGGCCCAAGTAGGTATTGAAGAGTAGTGGGCAGGAGTGATGAAATTTGCTGGTCTTTGACAAAAAGGTCCTGTTCTCTCCTACTCAGCTGACTTGGATCTAGATGAGATAGAAGACTTCCTTGGGGAGCTGATGACCACTGAGTTTGATACCGTTGTGGATGATGGGAGTCTGCCCCAGGTAAGCTTACATGGCCCAACTGCTATTTCCCTATTGTCTTTATTTTCTTTGGCTGTCTGTTTTAAACAAAGTCTCTTGGCTATACCAATGCTCTTGGGTCCCACAAAAGACTCTTCTAAGACTCCCTATTGCTAGAAGAAATCTAAACCTTTCCTTCCTTTTATTTCTGTCCATACATCCATCCCATCTAGACTTGTTACCTACTCCTTTCCCACTGGCAGTTTGGGCCAGGTATATTCGCCCACTTCTCTGGTTGACATTGTTTCCCCTGATGAAATCACTTTCCTTTTTACATTGTCTGTCTTTCAAAGCCAAGTTCTAGTGCCTTCCCTGCTAGGAGGCTCTCAGTCAATGCTTTAGGCCCTCAACTGAACCCTTCATATGTAGTTGCTTGACTGGTGAACTTTTTTTCTATTTCAGACTGTTATTTAGGAATGTTAATTTCAGACAGGGTCTCGCTGTGTGGTTCAGGCTGGCCTTGGGCTCACTTTATACCCCAGACTGGTCTTGAACTTGCAACAATCCTCCTACCTGAGCCTCTTGAGTGCTGGGATTATAGGAGTGTGCCACCACACCTGGTGTGATTGGTGAACTTCTTAGGAAAGAACTCCATATTCATCTGGAAAATTGCAGTTCCCTACTTGTGCTATAAATACAAGCTAGTTATATAGTAGATTCTATGGAAAATTCAAGTTTTTGAATGTTTTCTTGGTAGGTGAGCCAGCAGCTACAAACCATGTTTCACCACTTCCAGAGGGATGATGGGGCTGCTCTGAAGGAGATGGCCTCCCACATCACCCAACGAAAGTGCAAAGTCACAGCCACTGCACTTAAGACAGCCAGAGAGACTGATGAGGATGAAGATGATGCAGACAGTGTGGAAGAGATGGAGGTGAAGGGAATGCCCCTTGGTTGAGGGGATACAGATGTTTTCATTTCTTGGGAGAACAGCTAGATTCACAGGGAAATGATGAGTGGTTATTCTTGGTGGTATTATCTAAAGAAGAACAGGTCATATAGCCAATTTGGGAAGAGGTGGGAGCAGAGGCTGGGTCTCCACTGGCCAATGTACTTAGCAGTCTCCTGTATTTCCCCTCCAGGTTACAGCTACGAATGATGTGGCTGCTGTGCAGCCTGAAACTTGTGATCCAAACTCTCAGACTATTAAGGAAGAGGATATAGTAGAAGATGGCTGGACCATTGTCCGGAGAAAGAAATGAGTGGGGCCAGAAATGGTTTGGTCTCTTGTTGACTGATGTTCTAAGACTTATTTTAGGAGCTTTTTTGGAGGACTGTAGATGTCTGGACTGGTTATCCTACACCCATCTCCTGTCTTGTTCCTGTTTAGCTCCCTCCAGAGGAGAAAAAACCCTGCAGTCTTGGTTGTAGGGGTGTTCAGACCTGTCTACCACACCTTCTCAGGCCACTGGTTACCATAGGTTTCCCAGTACAGTCCTGTTGGATATAGTCAGTGTAAGAAGGAGGGATGAGTAAGTATGATGTGGCTGGAGGAGGAGCTAGAGTGCTAGGCAGTAGGTAGGGGCATATGTGGAGAAGCCCAGTATTTGGGCACTAGGAGGCTGGCTGGTTCAGGAATGGTGAGGCAGAATGCAGACATAAGAGAATATGTGAAGATGTAAACAAAAGTAGCTGTTCCTACCCCACCACACATATGCAGCAATTCCTTTCTCTGCCCAGAATTGGAAGCTCCAAGGAATGTTAAGAATCAGCTAGGTGGTGAGGTCAAGAGAGTTGAGCTATTTTTATGTTTCCTCCAAACTCTTTCTTCTTTCTTTCTCCCATCCCATTTAAGTCCAGGGATGAGGCTTATCATCTTAATAAATAATACCTTCTTGTTTAATCTGTAGTTTGACCTGTTGCATGGAATCAGTTTTCTGGAAGCTAAGTTCCAGTTACCCTAGTGGCCTGGCAGTTTGGACAAACACAGATGGACAAATGGAGCACAGTAGTGCTCTGAGTTACTGTAAGCCTGAAATAAACTGTATTTTTTTAAAAAACAAAACAAAGAGTATCCATTGTCCCCCATTCCCCTGTCCTGCCCAGTGGCCCTGCCATGGGTCTGGACAATAAAATACTGGGTAGCCTTGGGGCTGAGTAGAAGCTATAGACAGGCTCTAGTTACCACCCTGTGTGGGGTCATACATGGGAAGACACTGGCTGAGGAGACAGGGATAAGTCGGGGCCACAGGATCAGTGGCTTAGCTGGCACTTGAATCCAGGTCTTCTGCCTCTTTTGCTTTTGGGGAGAATTGGGTAGAGGCAGGATCTGTGGAGTGTTGGGGATGGGATAAAAAAGCCTAATTCAGGTGACTCTAGCAGTGGCTCCCACTTTCCCTAGGGACAGGATTTTTAAAAAGTTAACACCACTGTATGAGTACTTTTTAAAAGCCCACATTTTGTGAAAAGATGAATTAAAAAACCTAAGACCCAGCATTCAGGATTAAAAGTGCCTGTGATGGGAGTTCAAGTATTGTTTGAGTTGGGAGGGAGGGGTCTGGAACCCCCTTCTAGACAATGGGCAGCAAGAATGTGGAATTGGGGCTCCCAGTCCCCTTGCCCCCAGCCAGCCCTCTAGGTCTTATCTCAGGTCTGGGGGTTCTCAGGCTGCTCAGCAGTGACACCTGAAGCTGCCACTGTGGCTTCTTCCATCTCCTTGTCCTCAGACAGTGTGGGCCCTGGGCAGAACGTGTCCCCACGGCCTGCCCGGCCAAGCACAGCCATCCAGCGCCGCTGAAGCTCTTCTGTCTCAGGGCTGAAGTACCAGATGAGGTGGCTCTGGGTGATCTTAAAGACGTGCCTTCTGTCGGGTCTCTCCCCTGCCTCTGGAGGGCCCACCTCGAAGCCAATGAGGGGCAGGCTGCGCTGGGCTTTCACATCCTAAGAAGGAGGGAGAGTTGTCACTTTCCCTTCTGCCCCTGCTTCTAAATGATTTTGCATTTGCTCCCCTTTTTTCCTTTCTCTGCTTAAAAACATTCTTTGGCTTAATTAATAAGAAAATGTCTGAACTGGGGCTAGAATGCAGGCTGGTTCAAATCCCATCTCCTCCCATATCCAAAACTAGGTGAGCCAGTCTACTGTAATGCTTTCAGTCCTTTTCTCTAGGCTACTGCCCCTGTTCTTCCCTACTCAAAATTAGACCTAGCTGCGCCCTGCTTCCATCCTGTTTTCTTCAAAAAGTCAGCTCTCCCAACTCATATGTTTTCCCCTGAACAATTAGTACTTGTCTCTAGTCTTTATCATACAAAGGTAGTGGTTCTAATTTCCCTTGAGTTAGAGCTAGGCTATCCCTGTCCCCCAGAGTCAAGAAAGGATCAAGGACTGGAGAGAAATGAGGCTTTGCCAAGTGGCTGAAAGGACCCAAAGGAGTAGAATCCATACCTGAGGGGCACCATAGATGTACAGCACCAAAGGTTCATTCTCGGGGACCACAAACCATGCCTTGTGCCATCCTTTCCCGCCCTTCTCCATGTAGTGTAGGAAGCTGCAGATGATGCTGTTCTCTGCAGCCACAGAGGCCTGTTTCTGTGGCCAGAGACATAGAGAAGGTCAATACTGAGAGAAGGCTAGCCTACCTCCTCTTGGCTTAACTAGTATCTTCATATATGCATAGCTATTTCCATGTCTCAGGTGAAAACAATGAAATTGAGGTTGCAGGAATGATCTGCACAGGGTATTATGGTAGAGTCGAGATTCAAAGCTAGGCTTGTCTGTTTGACTTGGGCCATGGCTGCTGCCTCTACAAGCCAGAGAAAGTGGTGTACAGATTTCAGTGGGAGCATCCAATTATAGCCAGACATCTTCAGTCAGCCTATTTCTCAGGTCATTCACCCTTCACCTTTTTTCATCTTTCATCACACATCCATTGCCTACACCCAGTGAAAGGCAATGTAGCATTGTTTTAAAGGGTAGGGTGGTAGTTAATGCAGTCTAGTTCAGAACCCCAGTTATAAGTGAAAATGTGAAAACTTGGAGAGCACAGAAGGCTGCTGTGAAGATAAAATGAATTATATCCAAAGCATTTAGAATAGTTTTTGGCACAGAGTAAGCACTCTTAAAGAGTTAAATAAATATCTACATTTATTGAAAATAAACCTCAAATTGTGTGCATGCACATGTTCCTGGAAAGAGGAAGGAAACCTGTTACAGTGGTAACTTCTAGGCAGAAGGAATATAAAGTTGTATTATTTTTTGTTTGTTATCCTACTTAGCCTACTTGGTAATAAAAAAGCAATTTGTTAATTTAAAAATAGCCAAGGCAGTGTAGTCCCCGCTACTAGGGGGCTGCAGTAGGAGGACTGCTGAAGCCCGGGAATTGAAGACCAATCTGGGAAACCTAGCAAGACCTGGTATCAAAAATAAACTAGTTGAGCATAGTGGTGTATGCCTATAATCCTAGTGCTCTGAGAAGTTGAGGTAGGAGTTTCCAAGTTTGAGCCCAGCCTGGACAACTTAGTGAGACCCTGTGTCAAAGTAAGAACAATTTTTTTTCAAGTGCTGGGGCATAGCTCAATACAGAGGCCCTGGGTTCATTCTCCAGCACTAGTGGGGGCATTTTTAGGGTTTTTTTGAGGCCAGGTCTCACTGTGTAGTTCAGGTGGGCTTTGAACTTGTGGCAATTTTGCCTCAGTCTCTTGAGTGCTGGGATTTATAGCCATGTGCCACCATGCACAGCAAATAAAAGTTAAAAAACAAAAAACCCTTAACTTTGTCACTCATTGACTGCGTAACTTAGGCAAATAACCTCTCTGAACATCATTTTCCTGACTGATAAACTATGGAAAATAATAACATGGGTATAGTACTTACTGTGAAGATTACCGGAGGAAAGCACTTAAATTAAATTATTACCTTTCATTCTTACACTCATTACACTTACACTCTTTCACTCTTACACTCATTTTACTCCCAAGTCTGGTTCAAAGCATCAATCAGTGGACATACATAGTATCCCAGGTTTCCTCACAGTAGGTAGGCGGCTTGGGTAGGTGTGGGGTAGTTGGTTGGGGGTCTGGCTCTTACCTCCAGGATGGATCTCCGGCGTTGGGGTGTATGCTGGCTGCAGGCTGGACTGCTTCCGGGTACCCCATGCAAGGCCACGTAGCAGTCAGTACATACACGGTTGGATCGATTGTTGTCATAGACGAGGCGGGCCCGGAACTCGGAGCACTTCCCACAAACCACCTGGGGTGGCAAGTGGGCAAGAACACCCTGATTCTAGCAGGCATTTCCCTTCAGTGTACCAACTCCCACAACAGACTTGCAGCCTCCTCCTCTTAGGGGTTCACCACTTAGAAATAGGCCTTTGGGCTGTCAGCCTGTCCCCTCCTTGGCTGTGACCCACCTCCCAACACTCACATGCCCACAGGCCTTGCAGTGGTGTCTGCGTTTGGTGATGGAATTGAAGGGCTCCTGGCAGCGCATGCACATGGTGACTTCCTTTTCCCGGATGGGTGTAGGTGCCCGCTTCCCAAGATCCACGTTCTAGGGAAAGAGCCACATCCCAGGTCAAAGACAGCTCCTTAGCCCAGTTCAGGCTGCCCTTCCATCTGCCCAAAGGCTTAGATTATCCTTGGTGTTTGTGGGGCAGCAGACACATTCAGAAAACATGCCTTTGAATCTGGCTCTGCTCCTACCTCGATGTGTTAACACTGGCTTTTAAAATACTAATCATCATTAGTACAGTACTGGGGATTTCAATCAGGGCCTTTACACTAAGCTATTTATATCCTTAGCCCTATCTTCCATTTTTTTGGTTGTTGTTTTTAGGGACAGGGTCTTACTGTGGAGCCCAGGCTGGCCTCGAATTCATAGCAGTCCTCCTACCTCAGCCTCCCAAGTGCTGTGATTTGAAGCATGCGCCACCATGCTCAGCTCTCAGACATTTATTGATTTATTTGTTTATGAGACAGGGCTAAGTCACTGTGTTTCGCAGGCTGTACTTGAACTTGTCATCCTCCTGCCTCAGCCTTCTGGAGTGCTAGGGTTACAGGCATGGACTGCCATATCAAGCCTAACTCTGCGGAGGAGGGAATATGTTTATTTTCAGTTTTTTGAGACTGGGTCTTGCTATATAGTCCAGGCTGGTGTTGGACTCACTAGCCCAAGCTGGCCTCGAACTCATGACAATCCTCCTGCCTTAGCCTTCTAGAGTGCTGGGGTTACAGGAAGTACAGGCGTGTGCCATCATGCCCACCAACTCTGTGTTATTGAAGATAAGTCATTTCTGCTTTTTTGGTCTTGGTTCCCCAATGATTTTTCTGTGACCTCACCAACAAAAGATTGTGGTTCAGAGGGCAAGCATTGCCCCTCTCATCTTAATTTTCCACAAAGCAGAGAGGATCATTTCTTAGAAAGGTGAGAACTTAAGAGGCCTGGAAGGGGTCCCACTGCAAAAGATGATGGGGATACTTACTGGAGAGTTAGGAGGGGTTTCTTCATCTTCTCTGTTTGTTGAGTTCAACAGTTTGAAGGTCTCCAGCGTCTGTTCATGTTTCAGGAGGGTAGAGTTGATGGCCTGGTTCAAGTTGTAAGAAATGAGAGGTCAGATCACCCTACAAACCACCCATTTCCACCCTCACCTCATCTTCCTATGCCCTATTCTGGAGTCAGAAAAGTTGAGTTCTTGGCCCCTGCAGGACATATGACCTTGAGCAAGTTCCTCTCATACCAGGCTTGAAATGGTAACACGAAGTAGGGGAAAATGTTGGAAAAATCTCAGGCAGCCTTCCTTGTGGCAGTCAGAGCTTATTACAGGGCTTGACTCACTGGGATTATACCTTCACAGAAACCACCTTTCTAAAAGAACTTGTGAGTTTTCATGTAAACTTTGGACCTCAGTTTGCTTTGCTTATCTATAAAATGGAGATGTTAAAGTTTGTTGGAAGGTAGGTGTCCAGGCTCATTCAGGTCATACATGTTTTGAGGGGCAGTTCACCAACCCCTAGAAGACCCGTTTATACTTTTCCAGCCCTCTACCACAAAGTTGTCTTTGATGTTACCTGGACCCAGTCTTTCTTCTCCTCCTCAGTCCTTGGTGTGGGGAAAAAAAAGAAAGATATTAGGTTAGGCAGGCCAACAAAAAGCCATTGGCATGGTAAAGAGCAGGTGCTTTAGAATTAAGACAGATTTGAATTTAACATTCTGCTTCTTCATTTATTACTTGTGACCTTTGATACATCATTTAATCTATCTGGGCTTATTTATTCAGCAATTACTAATACCTTCCAGACTCTGCTAGGAACGTGGGCCTCAGAGAAGACTTTCCCTCAAGGGGCTCATGGTCCAGCAGAGACAGGGACAATTCAGGGAGATCAGTGGTGTGACAAGGTGACAGTAGGGCTGAGAAACCCAAAGGAGGAGACCTGCTCCAACATGAAGTTTGGGTAGGGGTTTCAAGGAAGGTTTCCTCTGGGCGATGCTAGGCCTCAGGTATAAGAGTAAGGGTATGGTGTATGTGGGAATAAGAAACCGTATCAATAAATTTCCAGCTACTAGGATGTCAAGTTTGAGAAAAAAGGGCAGTTCATTTTTAAAATTTATATTATGGAGATGATGATTATCTTTCTCTGGGTTATTCTGAGCTTTGCAGAGGTGACACATATAGAATGCCCAGCACAATGTCTGGTACATGAGATGCTCAAATCAATGTGATTTCTCCTTCCTTTTGCTTTTTTCCCCCTGACCCTTCTGTCTATCCTACATTTTCTAAGACCTTTACCTCATCAGCTATTCAACTGAGAATAGGACCTCAGCTTCTCTGCTGCCTCCTATTTAGCATTTTTGTTGAGATAGGAGCTCCTTGTTTAGTCCAGACTTGCCTTGAACTTGTGATTTTCCTGCCTCAGCTTCATGAATAGCTGGTATTACACATGTGTGCTATCATGCCAGATGCAATCTGGCCTCTTCTATTTGCCTTCTATATCCATAATCCAGACATCAGAAGTATTTCTCTAATATGAAAGTATAACTATATCCTTAGAACTACTGAATGAAAAAAGCAGGGATGTGAGTCATTATTTAGCTGTAAAACTGTCCACTACAGTGGGGCCTAGATATAATTCAGTGGTAGAGCACTTGCCTTGCATGCATATGGTTTTGAGTTCAATTCCCAGAAATTTAAAAGTAAATGTGGATAATTTATAATATATGCCAGGTGTGGTGGCACATGCCTGTAATCCTAGCACTTGGGAGGCCAAGTCAAGAGGATCATGAGTTCAAGGCCACCCCAAACTATATAGCAATAGTATACAGAACTCAGGAGGCTCAGGTAGGAAGATGTGAATTTGAGGCCAGCTTGGTCTACAAAGTGAGTTCAAGGCCAATCTGAACTGCATAGTGAAACTCTGTCTCAAAAAAGATAAAAATTTTAAATAAAACACCAAAAAATTCCTATAGCAATGCTTTTTATTATAGTGAAAAACTGGAAGCAGCTTAAGTATCCAACAATAGGCCAGGTTAAAAAAATCATGGTATATTATTACTATGAGAGAACACTAACAATATAGGAGGTTTATAATGTTTAGAGAAAAATATATATGTGTGTATTACACTATATATATATATAATACACTATATATATATATAATTATATATATATATAATATATAATATATATATATTACACTATATATATATATATATATATTAGTCTAATAGTCTTATTTAAAAATATAGATATGATAGATGGGCATAGTGGCACACATCTGTATTTTGGGTGACTGAGTCCAGAAGATTAAAAAGTTTGAGCCCAGCCTGGCCAACTTAACAATTTATTGAGACCCTGTCTCAAAATAATCAATGAATCAATATATAAATAAAGGGCTATGGATGTAGCTTAGTGCATAAGCCTCTGTGTTCAGGTCCCAGTACTACCCTATATACATGAAAAAATAAGCCAGTTTATGGTGGTGCATGCCTTTACAAAGAGCACTCTGAGAGGCTAAGGCAGGATCAAAACGTTCCAGCCTGGACAATTTTAGACCTAGGAAGACCCTCTCTCAAAGGCGGCACCGGGGATTGAACTCGTGAACTCACACTTGCCAGATAGGCCCTTATGCCACTGAGCTAAATCCCTGGCCCCCTCTCAAAGTTTTAAAAAAGTGCTTGGATATAACAGTGTGAAGGTTCTGGGTTCAATCACCAGTACCTAAAAGGTATAAACAAATAAATAAATGTGACACAGATATTTACATTTGTCAGAATTCATCCATGATACATTTAAGACCTGAGCACTTTACTATGCACATTTTTCCCCAAGAAAAAGGAAGGGAGGTTTAAATAAATATTGAAGTTTAGTTAATGATTTGCATGCCACACTCTTAAAGGATGATATGTAGGGATTTTTGCAACTTAGTATGAAATATTATAAAAATCACTTAGTTTCATGGATGGATGAAAGTAAATATAGAATAATGCTAACATTTGTAGAATCTAAATCATGGGTTTATGAGTGTTCACTCCATAATTCTTTCAACTTTTCTTTTTTCTGGAAATCTTTCATAACAAAACATGGAAATAAAAGGCCCCAAAGGTGTTCTGACAATACAGTAGCATAAATTATTTCTGGGATTTTACTTTATTCTAATTGTGTTATTTTGAAAATTATTTCCTATTTTCTGATTTATAATTTATTTGTAGTAAACAAGTGTTGCTTTTGATGTTTAAGAATCACAATAGAAGCCAGGCTTGGTGATCCATGCCTGTGATCCCAGCACTCTGGGAGGCTAAGGCAAGAGTATTGCAAACTTGAGCCCAATCTGGGAAATTTAGCAAAATGCTCAAACTAAAAGATAAAAAGGGCTTGGGATATACAGCTCAGTGTGAAGACCCTTAGTTCAATCTCCAGTATTGAAAGATAACAAGAAAGGGGAGAGGGAGGGAGGGAAGGAGGAAGACAAGCAGAAAGGAAAGAAAGATAGCAATAGTGTTTTTGGCTCTTCATATTGAAATACATAGGAATGAAGTGTCATATTTGTAATTTACTTTAAAATGGTTCCACAAAAGACATGTAACAGGCTGGCCATAGTGCATGTGCCTGTTGTCCTGACTACTTAGTAAGCTTAGGCAGGAGGATCACTTGAGCCCAAGAGCTTCAAGCCAGCCTGGGCAATGTAGTGAGATTCTGATTCAAAAAACAATTCAAAACCAAACCAAAAGAGACATAATATGGCAAAATGTCAATAGCTTTCAACTTTCTCTTTTTTTTATGGTGTATGGGATGGAATTTAGGGCTTCACATGTGCTAGGCAAGTGCTCTGCACATTCCGGCCCTAGCTGTTGACTCCTAAATCAGTGATTCTAAATGCTGGTCTATGCATTAAGATCACCTGGAAAGGTGCTCTTAAAACTGTCCATGATAGATGGGTTTGGTTGTGCATGCCTGTAATCCTAGAACTCTGGGAGGCTGAGGCAGGATCACTGCAAATTCCAGCCCAGCCTGGGCAATTTAGCAAGATCTCGTCTGAAAATATAAAAATTAAAAAAGAGCTAGGATGCAGCTCAGTGGGAAAGCCATAGTTTCAATGCCCAACAGAATTTTAGATTTTTTTTTAAATGAAACAAAACTCCCCATGTTGAAACTCTACCCCAGATCAATTAATTCAGAATCTCTGATAGTGGGGTCCAGGCATCATTGTGTTTTAGAAGCTCCCCAGTTGATTCCAAGGGTTATCAAGTTTTCAAACTTGTCTGCATTGTGGGAATATGGCTGTTTGTGCTACTACTTTTCTAGATATTTGATGATTTTCATTAAAAATATTTTAAGATGGATGTGGTGGTGCATGCTTATAATCCTAGCACTCAGGAGCTGGGGCACAGCTTCAAGTTCAAAGCCAGCCTGTCTCAAAAAAGAAAAAGGAAAACAAATTAAGGGCAGCAAAAGTGACTGCAAAACAAAATATCCATGCCTTTCAGCTGCAACTAGAAGGGAACCCTACACTGCTTAACAAGTCCCTTCTAGACCCATAATTCTGTAGCCACCTTCCTCTCTGCAGACTATAAGATCACGAATTCAAAGCCAGCATGGAAAACTCAGCAAGAACCTCTTTCTTTTCTTTTCTCTTTTTCTCTATTTCTCTCTTTGTGTCTCTGTCTTTGTCTCTCTATCTGCTCTCTTTCAGTACTGGGAATTGAACCCAGAGCCTTCACAATGAGCTACCTCCCCAGCACCATCCCCTTTTAATTTTAAGATATGGTCTTTCTAAGCTGCTAAAGTGACTTAAACTTGTAATGCCTTAGCCTTTCAGTATGCTCAGATTATAGGCACATACTATCACATCTGGCTTGAGAGACCCCATTTCAAAAAAAAAATTTCAAAACAGCTGGGGACACAATTCAGTGCAAAGATCCTAGGCTCAATGCCTAATAGCACAAAAAAAGTTAAAATAGTACCTGGCACAAGCAAAAGTTTTTATGATACATGATTTACTATAATTGTCCAAATAGATAGATATGAAAGCCCCTCTGTTAAATGGATGAGCATTTTATCCATCCTATAATTTTTTTGAGCCAGGGTCTCTCTGTGGAGTCTAGGCTGGCCTCAAAATCAAGGATCCTCCTGCCTTGGCCACTCGAGTGCTAGAATTACAGACATGTGCCACCACGTCTGGTTCCATGCTATACTTTTTAAAAAAGTTTTATTTGTAGTACTAGATATCGAAACCAGGGACAATCTACTACTGAGCTACACATCAGACTTTTTTTTACCCTGAGACAGAGTCTTGCTATGTATAGCACAAGCTGACCCTAACTTGCAATCCTCCTCTCTCAGCCTTGAAAGTGTTGGGATTACAGGTGTGCCCCAGCATATCCAACATACAATACCAACTCTTTTAAAATGTTTCTTTTTATTTTAAGATCGGATCTTGTGCTGGGGTATAGTGGCAGACACTTGTAGTTTCAGCACTCAGGAGGCAGAGGCAGGAGGATCATCAAGAGTTTGAAGCTGGCTAGACTACATAGTGAGATCTGGTCTTAAAAAAAGACAAGAGATCTTGCTTACTTGCTCATTTCGGACTCAAACTTAAGAAGTTCCTGCTTCAGCCTCCTAAGTGGCTGAGATTACTGGTGTGTGCCATCGTGGTCAACATTTAAAATTTTTTTATTGTGAAAAATTTTACGCATACGGAAAAGTAGACAGGCTAACACAAGATGACCAAGTATCTATATGTCCATTATATATATGCAATTTCTGGGGCTCAGCAGCATAAGCGCCTGCCTTGTAAGCACGCAGTCATGAGTTTGATCCCCGGTACAAAAAAAAAATCTGTATATGCAATTTCAAAAAATATTTGTTAAGCCAGGAATGTAATTCAGTGGTAGAACACTTGTGTAGTATGTATGAAGCCCTAGGTTCAATCCCCAGCACTGAAAAAAAGCCATAATTAATGCATATGTGTATATAAACCATACTTAATGCATGTTTATATATAACATAGATGTGTGTGTTGAGTAATGAGCCATTTTAAGATAAATTACAGAAGTGGGTGCAGTTGTGTACATCTGTAGTCCCAGCTACTTGGGAGGCTGAAGCATAAGGATCATTTGAGCCCAGCAGTTCAAGACCAGCCTGGGCAACACAGTGAGATTGCATCTCAAGAAAATAAAATTTAAAAATATATTTTTAAAAAAACTGAATTAAACTGCAGACACCATGATACTAAATCCTTAGCATGTATCTCTGAAAAGGCCATTCTTCCTATTCAATTATCATACCATTATTGTACCTCATAAGTTAGCAAAGATTCCCTGAAATGTGATGTTCAATTCAATTCATATTTTTCCTATCTTCCACCAAATGCCTTTTATGGCTGTTTTTTCCCCAAGTCAGGCTCCTATCATGGACTAACCATTGTATTTACTGTCATTTCTCTTAAACCTCCAGATCTACTTGTGGTACTGTTACTCAGGTTAGGATTAGTATCCTACTCTTTCCTTTTCCTATGGCGAAATCTACTAGAAGAAACTCTGGTTTTAATAAGGGAGATATTTATTCTCCAAGTTCCTCCTAGCAGGAGTACTACCTTTTCACACACCATGAAGTACTTACCCTGCGTCCAAATGGCATGTAGCCCTCAGGGATCACCCCCACTGCTGAAGCCTGCATCTTTGGGAAAAGGTGTCCACACTTTCTTTGGACCAATCTCAGCCTGAAATGTCTAAGCATATCTGAAGAAAACGGGAGGGGAGGTGTTCTAGGCAAGGGCAGGTACCTGGCCTGGAGCTCCAGCGAGCGTTGTTTTCCTGACACCAGGAAGGTCCGAGGCAGATTGAGGTTGGAACTCTCCTTTAGCTGAACAGAAAGAGAAAGGGTTATAATAAGGCCTGTTGAGCTCTACAGGCCCTAGTCCTCTGCACACAGAGATTTAGGATCAAAGCCAACATGGCTTTGTTTCTCCCAGTATCAATCCCCCACTGCAAGTTCCCATTTCCCACCTCCTGGTGCTCACCTCCATGCCATCTACATCAATGCGTGCCCGCACACTAAACTTCTGGCCAAGGAGCCGCAGTCTGGGCACACAGTAAAGGAGGCGGTCATTGAACTAGAAAGGAAAAAGTTTGGGATGTATGAGGACCTATGAGGATATGGCCTGGCTTCCTATCCTTATGGGACTCCTGAAGCTTTCTTTCTGAGGACTCAAGGCAACAAATGGAAGAAAAACAGCCCAGATTGGACACAGGGGTTTGTAAGGAAAGAGTCTAGAGATGGGAGTCACTTCCTAGTGGGTAACTTTGGACAAGTCTCTTAGTTACAACATAAGTAAAGAAGGGAAAAATTCATAGTACAGATAGTTAAAATACAGCCAATCAGTTACTAGAAGAAAGAGAGGCTGGCATCAGGTATAGCCTTGAAATAGTACCAGGTCAATGTGTGTGTGGAGAGTTTGGGACATGCCCACTCATGGCCCCACACCTGGAACTTACTAGTATGAGGTATCGGTCTTGAGTGGTCCCGTTCTTCGCTGATAGCTTAAGGATGTGGCCTTCTTTTATGAGCTCTTTGGTGGGGCTAACAATGTCCTCCTCACCTCCTAGCAGCTCATATACCTTCAAAAGTTTGTGCATTCGCTCCTGGAAGGAGACAATGAGTAAAAGGCAGCGTTTGGGATGTCAACCTCAGGGGCTGGGGATTTAGCTCAGTGGCATAAGCACCTGCCTAGGGTACCAACCTCCCCTCAGATGTCCATTAGTTTCAAGCCCCCCAATTATAGGACAGAGACACTACAGGTAGTAAAGAAAGGGCAGCAGCTAAAAAGGCCACTCACCATTTTGCGGATGGCAGCATTAGAGTGCTCTGCTGCTGTGGCTATCAGCTCCAGAGACTCTGTGGCAGAGAGTTCAGATGGGGGGTTAGCAAAGAGTAAGTTCTTGGGGGTTTATTTCCTCCTGAATACTTCCTCCTGACCTGACCACACCCTCCTCATTCCAGAAAGGGCAACCTCAAGTGTCCATAGCAACACCATTGGAAATGAGAAACTCTCAACTAATGCAAAAACAGCAGAGTCATGGTATACAGCATAGCTGTATAAAATACAAGCTTGGCAAGACCACTATCATTAATAAGAATAATATTTACATATGCTACTATTATGTAATTGGAAGGAAACATATCTATATTTAGCAAGCTTTCTCTGGATGGTGGAACTGTGGGTGAGTTTTTGTTTTGTTTTTGTCTTTTTGAGACAGGGTTTCACTATGCAGTTTAGGCTGGCCTTGAACTCACTTTGTAGCCCAGGATGGCATGGAACTCTCAGGATCCTCTTGCCTCAGCCTCCTGAATGCTGGGATTATAGGCGTATGCCACCACACCCAGCCTGCGTGAGTTTTTGTTGTTTTTTCAGACAGGGTCTCACTATATATGTAGTTCAATTTTTCCCTGAACTGACTATGTAGCACCAGGCTGGCCTTGAACTTGTGGTGATCTTCCTGCCTCAGGATCCTGGGTACTGGGGTTACAGGCAGGGGCTACCAGGCCTGGCTTTATTTTCTTTTAAGTTTTTCTGTATTTTCCATATTATTGAGACAAGCTCTGGCTATATTATGTCACTGTAACTGGCTCTTTCATATTTTTTTGAGATAGGGTTATACTATGTAGTGTAGGCTGGCCTAGAACTCACTTGTATAGCCCAGGCTGGCCTTGAACTCATGGTGATCCTCCTGCCTCAGCCTCCAGAGTGCTGCAATTACCTGTGTGAGCCACCACTCCTGGCTCTTCTGTATGTTTGACAAAGAACATGTATTACTTTTATAATTGAAAAAATATAAACAAACAAATAAGGACTGGAGGTGTAGCTAATTGCTAGAGCACTTGTCTAAGATATGTGAAGTATTGAGTTCCATCCCTAGCAAAAATGAGAGAAAAAGAGAGGAAGGAGGAGGGGAAAGAGGGAGAGAGGAAAGAGGAGGATGAGGAGGAGAAAGAAACAGAAGAAAAAAGGAGGAGGAGGAAAAAATAGAAGAGAAGAAAATAGATGATCTTGGTGTATGTTGTATGGGGGTGATTCTGGAAATTAAACCCATAGCCTTAGCCCTGAGCACTGAGATAAGGTCTAAAGTGTCCAGACTGGGTATAAACTTGTGATCCTCCTGAATTAGCCTCTCAGAATGCTAAAATTACAAGTTTGTACCACCATCTCCAGTATGCTTCTATTTTTTGTTTCAATAATTCTGATTATAGATATACATTCTATGCACAAATACATTTTCATTGCAGTGGTGTTTACAACAGTGCGAAATTGGACACAAAAATGTCCAATATAGGGGTTCAGTTAAATATATTATGGTGCACTCATGTAATGGAATATCAAATAATCTTTACAAATTACTTATGGAGGATTTTTAATAATCTGAGAAATACTCAAGGTACTTTAAAAATACAAACTGGTATATACAGAACAATCTCATTTTTGAAATATACATGCTTAAAATAACACCAGGAAGAATATATGCTGAAATGTTTATTCTGTGGGAGTTGACATCACTGGTGGTCTCCCACCTACTTTTTTCTTTCATCTTTTCTATAATTTTATAACCATGTATTATCAAGGAAAAAAATTGAAGTAAGTCACCCTAGACTGCTACATACTAAATAAATCCTACCCCTACCTACAGCCTGGCCCCAGCTTCACTGGCCCTCACTCTGCATTCTAGGTTTCCCCATTGAGAATATATGCCTGTACTGGAGTAGCACAGGTGTTTCTGAAAAGTGTCCATGTGGTTGGAAAACCAATCTTGTTCTCCTAGGCCAATGATGGTGAACCTTGTAGAGCTTTCAATGATGATGGCTGGATGTGGCACATGTGCCATAGGTTTGCCACTTCTGTCCTAATCTCCATGATTAAGTTTTTTTTGTATTTTTGTATTTTTACCAGTACCAGGGATCGAACTCATGACTGCCTGCTTGCAAAGGCAGGTGCTTATGCCGCTAAGCTAAATCCCCAGCCCCCATGATTAAGTTTTGATGCTTAGGCAGCTCTCTGGCCCCCATCCGGGCTTAGGCCTCCATATACCTTTCAGGTGCTGGGCTATCTCTAACCCCCTTTCCACTCTGGCTGCCACAAACAGTTTTCTTACACACAGGTCCATGTCAATTTCTGCTCAGATCTATCATTTACTGTCATGTGTCTGTAGGACAAAGGTCCAGCCTTTTGGCCTGGGAGTCAAAGTTCTTAATGATTTGGCTTCTTCTGACTGATATAACTTCCTCCCCTGCATCTCTTTGAACATGTCCTGTCTTGCTTCATCCAGCCATTCAGTCTTCCAGATTCATATTACCACCTCTGGTAAGCCTGCCCAGAGTTCCCAGGCTGGGTTAGGACTCTGTCTGATTTCCACTATCCCCTTTTCCCCCTTCTGTCCCACATCTATGTCTATGTCCCTCAGTAGAGTGGGAGCTCCTTAGGATAGAGTCAATGTCCCACTAGCCTCTCTAGGGCTCTCCAACCTGCATAAACTGGCTACTTAAACCTTCATAGCAACCCTGCCAAATAGGTGTGACTGGGCCCTATTTGTCCAGTGACAAAACCAAGGCTCAAAGAGAAGACAATCACCTTAAATTTCTAACTAGAAGGTAGCAGTTGGCATCAAAGCCGGGGCTTATCCTCTAGGTATCTCTTCTACATATTTGGCATCTCCCACATCCCAAGGCAGGGGGCAGGCAAACAGAGGTAGGGGGAGCCCAGGAAAAGCCACAGGAAGACGACTCTGGCAAGCTGTGTGTACATAAGCTTAGGCCTATATAGGCTGTTGGGTGCAGATTAGAGGCTTTGCTTGCTATTAGGAAGGAGTACAGATTAACTTTTCCAGGAGTCCAACATGTGAAGACTACGTCTAGGGCTTCAGTGTCGTGATGTCAGTCTAGGATTTCACCTGGGGGTTCAGGCTAGGGAGTAATAATTTATGGTATTTGATGTATGAGCTTGGTCTGGAAGATCTAGTATGGCCTGGTCTGGGCTTGAAAGATTGGGCTCTTATTTTGAAGTTCATCTTAGGTTAATGTAGGTAGCTGACATCAGCAGTTTCCAGCTATCTTGGTTTGGAAGTTCAATCTAGGTTCCAAGTGCCAAGAGTTCAGTATGGCATCTAGAAAGCAGGCAAATCTATGTGTGAAACCAGAGAGATGATTCAGTGGCTCAGCTTGGAGATTTTAGTCTGAGGGGTAAAAAATGAGGAGCTCATTTTGGCTGGCTCTCTGAGATTCTCATTCTGAGCAGCTCAGAAAATCAGACGGGGAAGTTCTTTCTGGGACTTTTATTTTTAAACTCAGTGGGAGTTGGCCAAAATCTAGCTGTGAGGTTCATGCTGGGGACTCATGGGATTGGGATTGGTATAAAACAAGAAGCTAAACTTGATAAACTCAATCTGGAACTAATTTTAATTATTGTTTATTTATTTGTTTGCTTTTTGAGAAGGGGTCTTAATATTTATTTTATGCTGGCCTTGAACTCACTATGTAGTCGAGGCTGGCTTTGAACTTGCAGTGACCCTCCTGCCTTGGCCTCCGAGTACTGAGATTACAGGCATGCCCAATTGGGGCTGATTTTACCAGGATTTGTTATGGATGACATTAGCTGGGGCACTTAATAATAAAAGCAGTTAACATTTATTGAGCCTTTAACATGTGCCAGACACTTGTGAAATATCTTTTTTTCCTTAAAACAACCCTATGAGGTGGGTATATTTATCATTGCCATTTTATGTGAGAAAACAAACTTAGGGGCTTCAGTAGTGAGCCAAAGAATACACTTGATGAAACGGATTCAACTTAGGTCAAGTCTAGGGAGCTTAAATTGGCAGCTCATTTTGAGAATTCAGTTTAGTGAGTTCATTTAGGCATTTCCACCTTGGACTGTCATGCTAGAGGTTCAGTTTAGAAGTAAAATTACGGAAATGACTCCTGGATACTTGTAACAGTTAAGGTGAAATATCAACTTGATTGACTTGGGAGCTTCCCAGGAGATTGGTAGGTATGTCTGGATAAATCATGGAAATGTGTGTGTGACCATATGGTATATATCTGGTCCCTGGCTCCTTCCACCCTGGCACTGCTCCTCTCATTTCCTGATCCTCATAAACTGAGCAGTTTTGCTCTGCCACACCCTTCCACCATGTTTCTGCCATAAAGGCAGGTGACCATGGACAGAATTCTCTGAAATCATGAGTCAAATTAAACTTCTCCTCCTTTAAATTGTGGGTGTTAGGTATTGTGTTCCAGTGATAGAAAATCTAATACATGAAACTAATACCAGAAGTGTGGTTGTTGTTATGAGTATACCTGACCATAGAGTTCAGAAGTCTTTGGAACTACTTTATAGGAGAAAATTGTTTTGTTTGTGTTGGGTTTTTTATTCAGGGTGTCACTATGCAGTTCAGATTAGCTTTGAACTCACTGTGTAGCCCAGGCTGGCCTCAAACTCACAGTGATCCTCCTGCCTCAGCCCCCCAAATGCCGGGATTACAGGCATGTACTACCATGGCTGGCTACAGGAGGAATGTGGAAAGGTTTGGAGATATATGCTAGATATCCTAGAATGCTATAAGCAGAGTTTTAGTGGGAAATACTGGTGAGAGTTTAGAAGACCCAAATGGTGATAGCAAAGTTGATAGTAAAGGCTAGGTTCAGGAGACTTTAAGGGGGAATAAGAGTTCATTTATGATTTAACCATGCATGTTACACTCTGGCAAAAAATGTATCTACATTTTACCCATGTCCTAAGACTTTGCAGGAGGCTGAGTCTAAGGGGTATGGACGAATTGATCTGGCGAGAGAAAGTTCAAGGCAGCCTAACATTGAGGCTGGGGCATGAATACTGCTGGTACTTTCAGATAAATTTATAATGAGAATCGGGGGTAAAAAGCAGAGCAGAAAAACTTCAATAACTTAAATTTTGGCCCTGAAGGAACCATGTGTAAAACTGGGGCTAAAGAAGGTATGGCTGTTGAAGATAGAAGCATAATTAGAAAGAAACCAAGTCCTTTGACAGGGACAAAAAAGATTCCTCAAGAGCATCTCAGGAATCGGCAAGACCCCACCCATCATAGGCTCAAAGATGCAAAAAAGTATAAACTTTTTATTCCAGAAGCTGGGGTCCCTGCTTGGGAAGGGGGAATTGGTTCTCTAGGATTCATTTCACCATTCTTGGTCATTCAGACATTCAGAGGCTGCTGCTGTCATGGTCCGGGAGGCCTTGTTACTGCTTATACCGGTGGCAGAACTTGGTGTTGTCCAAGTCAAGCTGGCCACATCTTTCCACCATGTTTTTGCATTGCAGCCAGCTGACCTTGGACCAAATCCCCTGAAGCGATGAGCTAAATTGAGCCTGAACTGCTTTAAATTGTGTCAAGTATTATGTCCTAGTGATGGGAAAGCTAATGCAAGTATCATTGTAAACATATAATTCCATGATGCTCGGGGGAGAAATAAGATGGGGAGGGGCCTTCTTCTGGGGACCCCAGTTGGATGGGTATGGAATATGCAGTCAATATGGCAGTGGCCCTTCTTGGGTGCTGATACAGAGACCTGTCTGGAGATGAGGGAATCTCAATCCATGATTCTAAGTCTGGAGGGGAAAAAATAGAGAGCTCAGTCTAGAAGAAAAGTCATTTTGGAAGTTGAGAGTAAAGATGAGAACAAGTGCTTAGCCTAATTGGCTTAATTTGGGGGACAACTTAGGGCATTAACCTGAGCAGTCTGTAAGGAACTCTCAATCCGGTTGATGAAAAACAAGAGTCAAGTCAAAAGATTAGGGAAGACACAGTCTCCCAATATTTGGAGCTCAGAGCCACTATGTATTAGGGTTCTGGGTTTTACCCTGGGGAACTGTGGGAATCCAGTCTGAAGCTCTGTGAGGTTTCAGTGTGTTGGGGTGAACTAGGAGAATCTTTTGGGCTTGGAGAGGAAGTTTCAGCCTAAAAGATAGTAAATGGGAAATTACTGTGTAGAGAATGGTGGCTAAGGAGATGAGATATGGGAGGCTGTTTTGGGAAAATATAACTCTGGGACGTCATGTTGAAGGCTCCAAGAACCCACTCTTAGGGATCTGGGTGGAGAGTACATTCCTGAGGCCCAGTCTGGGAATCTTAGTTTGAGAAAACAGCACAGGAATCTAAAACTGGGACCTTAGACTGAGTCTAGCCTCAAGGCTCATATTAAGTCCATAGGGCTCATACCAGGGAACCAGTCTGGAAAGTTCTCTCTGGGGCCTTAGGTTATGTAGCTCATCCTCAGTGGGGCTTCTATTTGGTGGGGTTGGAATGAGGTATTTAGTATATATATGACTGTTTGGAGAGCTCAGCTACTAAACATTCCAGAGGTTTAGGGTTGATAGCAAAATACTGTATATGTTGGGGTGAAGAGAGCCTAGTTTGGGAAGTGAACATTAACACAGGGCTCACCTGTCCACTTTCTATTCTTGTAGGTTCCACACTCCTTTTTTCCCTCCTAGTTTCATGGCTGCAACTTTTAAGTCTCCTTTAGTGATCCTGCTTCTCTGAGCTTTGTCTTTAACCTTCTTTCTTTTCTCTTTATACTCACTACATTTGGTGATCTTGGCCAGTCCTGTGGCTTTTACTACTATCTGTATACTAATGACATCCAAATCTCTCCTGGATTCTAGCCTCATTTAATTGCCTAAACTGGCAGCTAACATTGAACATGTCCAAAATCAAACTCTTGAGCTCATCTCAACAGCCATCATTCTTGACTTCTCCCCAGTTCCACATTCACTCCATCCTAGGCTTTTAAGTGCTACTTCCAAATACAGTATGTCCTAAATCAAACCATTTCTCACCATTTCCACTGCTACTGTCCTTATTCAAGTCATTTTTTTCTCATGTTCTAACTTAGGTTATCATAAAAGTCTTCTAATTAATTTCTTGGTTCCCTTTCTTGCTCCCAATATAATCCAAATCAAAAACTTGCCATGACTCTGAATAAATACTTTCCCTTATCTTGGCCTTTAAATTTTTGCTTCTCTCTTACACCCAAATTCTATAATCCCACACTCCCTTACAATGGAATCACAGTGGCATTTTTTTTTTTTTTTTGGTCTGAGACAGGATCTCACTATGTAGTCCAGGCTGGCCTGGAACTCATGATCCTTTTGCCTCAGTCTCCTGAGTGCTGGGATTACAGGTGTGTGCCACCATGCATGGTTTAGAGTGACCCTCTTATTGGTCCAGATATATACAAACTACTCACCTTCCTCCTCCAGCTTCCTCAATAACACACGCCTTAGGGGGTTTCTGTACCTGTTACCTCTGCCAGTTATATGTTCCTCCCATTGGCCTGTAGCTACCTTTTTGTTATTTGGGAACTGACTCAAATATCTTCCACTTAGAGAAGATACCTAATCTAAATTAGATTACTCAGTTACTGTTACTTCATTCTCTTCTAATTCTCTGAATTACACTTATATTATCTAATATTCCCTTGTTTATTACTTAAGGACTTTGTTTATCTCTATATCTCCAGTACCTAGAAAAATGCATGGAACATTGAGGTGCTCAGTGAATAGCTATTAAATTAATGTATAAATAGAAAACAATCTGGCAAGAGAAACTGTGGTAGACATTGGGGAGCTTTATCTGGGTATGACCCCATGGGGTCAGGCAGAAACTGGGAAAATTAGAAATAAATACTTGTCTAGTACTACAGGGTATAGGGACATAGTCTGGAAAGGAGATATCTCAGCCTAGAGCTCTAAATCTGAGAGGTAGAAAATATGGGGACCAGTTAAGGGGACTTAGTTTTAGAGAGATGATTCTGTAGAGTTCTCAGACTTGGAGGTTTGGGGGGAAGTTCATTCTGGGGAATGGGCAGTGGACATGGAGTGGAGCTTTAACTCTGGAAGATAGAAAATCAACAGCTTGATGATACAGGGCTTTTTCTGGAGAGGTTACCATGGAGACTTAGGCCTTGGTCTGTGGGGTGGCTGAGTCTCTGGGAGTTGAGGCTCAGTTTAATTTGGCACTTGGTACAACTTCACCTGGGGACAAATATGGGGGCTAGCCTAAGAAATGTATGGCTTCATTCAGGGGATCATTCTGTGCATGCCTCTCAAACTCTGGTGCTCTAGTTTGGAAGTTCTAACTGAGGGACTCTTTCTGAGTACCCAAGCAGTGATTTCAACTTGGAGGTTCAGCATGAATTTTCACATTAGATCCTCAATGTGGATCTTTTAGCTTGGAAGCCCTATTCTGAGATCAGTCATGTGTCTATGGAAAGCTGATTCTGAATTAAGTTTTGGGTTCCTGCCTCAAACGTCTGACCTAAGATTATCAATGTCAGAGAACAAGGCAGGACCTGGGTGTACACACTCACTTTGGGCATCCTTGCTGTCCGGGGAGCCATGAGGCAGCTTTAACAGATAGTCCTTGAGAAGTAGCTCATAGCGGGGGATGCGCTGCACAGGCTCCAGCATGTGGTGCTGCAATGTCAGGTTGCCACAGGCTTCCTCTTTCTGTGACAGGCAGAAGCAGAGGAACTCAGGTCTTGTTGCTGACCACTCCCGTACTCCCAGGTATCTGTAGCCCTCTCCTCCCCTAGTCTGTTCCATCCAGCTTCACCACTTACTTGCACCTCATGGATGATGACTTTAAACTGGGTAGAGCGCTCTGTCCAGGTGTTGACCAGCTCAACAGCCCGGTCAAAGTTCTTCACATACTCGCCATACATCTTGAGGAAGGGTGCCAGCTTCTGCAGAATGTCCCCAATGCGAGGGTAGCGGTCCCTGAGTTTGAAGTAGGGGCTGAAGTGGTCATAATGATCCTTACCCATCAGGATCCTCCCCCATAGGTCTCCAGCCCCAAGCAGACCACTCTCATTTTGGTGCTGGAAACCCCTTCTCAGCCAGTCTGATTCTTTGGAAATGTTGCTTACTTATAGGCCAATTAGGCTCAGAGGCTTGGTTTGACATGAGACCATGGCCCAGGATGCCACCAGCTCCAAATCTGTCCTGCTCAAGGATCAAGAACATGTCCTGGAACACCCTCCCTGACCTTACTCCAAGGGCTACTTCATATACTAAAAACTGATTCTGTGCCCAGCCTTGTGCTAGGTCATGCTGGGGAAAGAAGCCATACCTAGTCAAGCCCTGAAAGCCTCACTGTCTAGTAGGGCCAAAAAGAAATCAGACCTAGACACACTCTTCATTAATCACAACTGGGTGCAGGAAACAAACCAGGCTTGCATTTACAGGCTGATTGTAGACATCAGAGCTAGGCTTCACACCAGCCCTCTGTGTTCATAGTCTAGAATGAGGGACACATTTTATCCTGTGAGTGTGGGGAACCTGGACATGATTTTGGGATGGGACTGACATAGACTTATTGTTGTTTAAAGACACTCAGCCAGATAGTGTAGTCCCTAAAGGCTGAATTAGAATAGGAGAATCTGCCGATAAACTCACCTTCTCAGGCATTAATTCTTCCCTGAATCCTCTGATGCCCAGACTAGGAATAGTCCATTTGTCTAGATACTTACACCCTCCCATTCTTACCTTTATAATAGCACTGATAAAAATAACAGCTTATACCAAAAGAATAAAATAAATTAAAAAATAACAGCTTAGAATCACTGAGAACTCATATACTGGGTACCATTCTAAGGTCTCTACATGTATCAATCCTTAAAACAGTACAAAGTAGGTCATTATTATTATCCTCATCTTGAAGATGAAGAAACTGAGGTGCAGCAATTTAAGAAATTTGCTCAAGCTGAGTGTGTGAGACCCTGTCTCCAAAAAATCAGAACAAAACAAAACCAAAAAAGAAACCCAGCTAATTTAACTCTTCACTTCATTTTTTATTCCCCTACTTCATACTCTTTTTATACTTATTTTTATTAGTATATGTTTGCATACATAATGAATATATTCATCATGGGAGATTTGTACATGTACATAAAACATGTCAATTCTTCTCCCACCTCATACTTTTTTGTCTTTTTGAGACAGGGTCTCATTGTGTAGTTCAGGCTGGGTTTGAGCTCATTTTGTAGCCCAGGCTGGTCTCAAACTTGCAACGGTCCTTCTGCCTCAGACTCCTGAGAGCTGGGATTACAGCCATGTGCCACTGTGCCTGGAACCTTTTTATTTTTGAAACAGGGTCTCACAATGTAGTTTAGGCTGTCCTTGAACTCACTATATGGCCCAGGCTGGCCTTGAACTCACAGTGATATTCCTGCCTCAGCCTCCAAAGTGCTGGGATTACAGGCATATGCCACAATGCCCACCCCACCTCATACTTTTAAGGGCTCTACTATTCTGTTGTAATTTTCCCAGTCCTGGTCTGGATTCCACATTAGATTGGGAGGGCCTGGAAGATGGAGCTTAGGCTTGATTGTTTTTCAGAAGTCCGTAAGAGGAAAGGAAAGACAGACTGAACTTTTTGGGATGCTGGGGATGGAATGGGGAGAGGCTTGTGTATGCTAGGCAAGTGTTCTAACACTGGGCCACACCCCAAGTCCAGAAATAAACATGTATGTATATCTGGGTCTGAACTCCAAAAGCAAGTGGACAGGAGAGCACAGAGCCTGGGTTTGGAGTCCCTTACCATTCCTCCATACGCTTCTCTAGTTCTGGCAGTAGGAACTGCTGGTGGAAGCAATAGATGGAACAGATGTTAGAGAAGATGCCATGGACAACATCAGCTGGGAAGGAACTGCGGTTCCGAGCTTCTTCCAGCAGCCGAGCACAGAATACCTGTGAAGCAGGACAAAAGAACTCAGCCTCACTAGGCCTAAGGCTTCACCTGGAAGGGGAAGCTTGCAGGTGAGGGCAGTATTTACAGGCAGTTTTGTGGAGCTTTGGGATCAGCACTGGTCCAGTGAGAGGGAACAGGGTTAGGTTTATATATGGAGAATAGTTTGGATTATATGCTTCAGGTTGCCAAGGTTAGGATCTGGAGTTAGGAATCACAACAATGTAGAGAGAGGAAAAGATTCAAGGTCAATGTCAGAAGTGGATTAGTTGGAATTAGATCCATTCATTTTACAAATATTTCTGAGTCCTTACTATGTGCCAGGCACTGTACTGCAGGCTGGGATGGAGCAGTGAACAAAGCAGACAAAAATCCCTACCCTTGGGGATTCTAGTGGATTTGAGGTCCTGAACAGGGCCAGAGTTAGAATGAGATTCACAGTGAGGGGTAAATTTATAGAGTCTGAGGAAAGTAGGCATTAGTGTTAGTGCTTTAATCAAGGCTGGTATACCTATCCAGGATTAGGATTAAAGGTTGGTAAGAAGATCAAACTTGAGATCATAATCAGAGTTAGCTTCAGGGACAAGTTGGTTTCAAGTTCAGAAAGGGGCTTTACCACCTCTAGATTTTAGCCCCAATGGTAGGCCCTACCATTTCCTCTTATGAACCCATCTTCTAGGTCCTAGGAGCCCAGGACCCCTAAGGGGCCATTCACCTGATCTAGGAGATGCAGTCTGGAAACATAGGCCTTCTCAGTTTGTAGGAGCTCATTGGCAATGTGGAATACCTTCTGTTGCACGGTCAACTGGAAAGGAAAAGAGGTGACCCAAGATATATCATCTTCTACCTTAAGCCAAGCCCCTAGCCCAAGCCCCTAGGTTTTTTTTTTCTTCTTTTTTTTTTGTCTCTTTCTCTCTTTCTTTCTTATTTAGCAGTTTTGAAATGGGGTCTTGCTGTGTTGCCTGTGCTGGCCTTGAACTCCTGGGCTCAAGCGATCCTCCTGCTTCAGCCTCAGAAGAAGCTGGGACTATAGGTGTGCATCACTTTGTCTGACTTCCCTGGAATTCTAACAATAGCTCAAATATTGTTTTAAGCCTAGGGCCACTGAGATAATTCTGACTCCCTTCTCTATCCCAACTTCATACCTGACCCCCAGTCAATCTTAAAGCCTACCCCTTAATTCTAATGACACCTATCCCCTCATTTAGCCACTTAACTCACTCATTCATCTGCTGTCACTCTGCACTGAGAATAGTGAGATGATCAAATATGGGACGGGGAAGTCAGATTTCCTGGGTTCATATCCTAGCTCTGCCATTCATAAACTTCTGTAAGTTCTTTAACTGCTCTGTATTTAAAATTCCTCATCTATAAACACCACTAATATAGAACCTAGGACCATTTGTATTGGACAATTAAATGACTTCTTATAAATAAAATAACAGACTACAGATCAAATGATATATAAATGTTTTTTGTTCATCCACTCAGTTCATTATCATCAAAAGGCTTTCTGAGTACCTGTGGTGTGAGAAAAACATAAAAATGTACAAACGTCTAAAACTTATTGCCTATGAGTATCCTATTTATTAGACATGTTTTCTGAGTACCATTCATCACAGCAGTACCTAACAGCCCCCCATTTAAGTTTGGTCCTGGTAGAACAGATATTCTGACTGAAACCTAGCTGAAGTGCAAGGATATCTTTTGAAGAAATGTTTGGCTGCCAGAGCACACAAAGGGTCCCTGTTGCCAAAAGGCTTTATCTCCAGTCTTAGGTTCCTGAGGGGCTCTAGCTCTTGTGCCTCTCCTCCAGCTGTTGGGAAGTTTTTGGGATGTGAGAGACTTTATACAAATAAGGAAACCTTGAGGCTCTATGTAGGGGAGTAGAGAGGGAAGAGACGTGCCCATTGTCACACAACTGCTAAGTCATGGGACTTTTTTTCCCCTCACTTTACTTTTGTTGTGGTTCTGGGGATTGAACCCATGGCCTCAAACATGCTAGATAAACATGCTACCACTGAGCTCTATCCCTAGCCCTGTTTTACTTTTAATATTGTGATGCCCATAGTGAATAAAAAGTTGGCACATATTTAAAAATTAAAATTTTGAGACAGACTGACCTTAAACTTGTAATTATCCTACCTCAGCTTCCCAAATAACTGGAATTACAGGTGGATACCACCATGGTTAGCTCATGGGATTGTCCTGTTGCACAAGATTTTAAAATTTCCCAACAAGGCATAGTGGCATACAGCTTCAATCTCAGCAATCTGGGAAGCTAAGACAGGAAGATTACAAGTTCCAGCTTAGTCTGGGAAACTCAGCAACTTAGTATGACCCTGCCTCAAAGATTTATAAAAAAATTCCAGATGTGGTGGCATATACCTGTAATCATGTGTGGCACATCAGAGACTGAGGTAGTAGGATCATCACAAGTTCGAGGCCAGCCTATGCTACATAGTGAGTTCAAGGCCAAATGAGTTCCTGTCTCAAAAAACAAAAACAAAAAAAGCAAAAAAAAAAAAAAAAATAGGGCTCGGGATGCAGCTCAGTGCAAGGACTCTGGGTTTGATCTCTAGTACCACAAACATGAACAAATGACTGAATGAATCCATCCATCTATAACCAGGATGCCCGTTTTCAAGATGGAAAAACAGGTGGTTTTCTGGTGAGGGTAGGAGCACATTCCTAGTGGGCATTTGGAGTAGTGCATAATTATTTTGGTGGTCACAATGACTGTGGGTTGAGCCAGGTGTGGTAGCACACTTCTGTAATCCCCAGTGCTCTGGAGGCTGAGGCAGTAGGATCACTGTAAGTTTGAGGCCACCCTGGGCTCCGTACTGAATTCAAGACCAGCTTGGACTCCATAGTGAGACCTTGTCTCAAAAGAAAAAAAAAAGGGAAGGAAAGGAAAGGAAAGGAAAGGAAAGGAAAGAGAAAGATTGAGGGGAGAAGCAGCATTTGCTACTGGTACTATATTTAGTACCAGGAGATCAGGGAAGATAAATATCCCAAATGGAAACAATGTCCTATTTTGAGAAATATGGTATGGGAAGAATCAAGCACAAAAGCCAGGCTCTTGATTTCTCCATAAGGTCCTGCTTCTTGGTGAACATGGGTCAGTACCTCCATAGACTCCTGTCTCTCCATCGGGGGAACTGGGATTTCTCTGTCCTTCTCATCCTCCTCCTCATCGTCTTCCTCCTCCAGGTCACTGTCAACTTCCTGGGAGACGGGCCGGTGGGAGTCGGCCAAAGCCACAGGTACACTGGCCAGGGCAGGAGGCCCAAGACAGAGGCTGTGGCTGGGGGGACCATCATCACTGACGAAACAGGTCTCTTCACTGTTGGATGGCGAGCTGATGCTGTCAATACCGCTGTCCCGGTTGGGGACCTTCTCACCATCCCGAGGCCCAGGAGCCAGCAGGAACAGGCAGCGGGAGGCCTCACCCTCTGGGAGCTGGGATACTGGTGGCTGTAGCAACATGGCTGGCTCTGGGGGACCTGGACAGGGGCCAGGGGCTGGCCTATCCGAGGCGACAATCACAGGCTCTCTGAGGTGGGTGGTGGATACACATGGAGGCAGGATATGAGCTTGACTGAGAAGCCTCTCCTACAACTATCCCTTCCTGTCCCAGATCCATCCTTCCCTCCATAGGGTTCTAGAGGGACCAGACTCACCTTTCAAACTTCTCAATCAGTGAGGATACTGCTGCAGTACTAGGGCTGGCCTCTACCCTGGGAGCCAGACCCTTAGCCACGCGGGGGTCAGCAGGCAGTGGGCGTGATGGTGGAGGAGGGATAGGCTCAGGTGGGGGGGGCATCCGGGGCATCTGCAGATAGCTGGGCTTTGGTGGGACTACAGAGACAGATAGGAGAGAAAAGAGACCTTAATGAGCTGGGTTTAGAAGTGGCTATCATGGCCAGGCTATACCCACCCCACAAACTCCAGCTTTTTGGTATTGTTTTATTTTTTGATTGATTAATTGATTGATTGTTGCGGTACCAAGGATTGAACTCACAACCTTACGCTTGTCAGGCAGGCACTTATGCTGCTGAGCTAAATCCCTGGCCCTATTTATTATTTATTTATTTGCACAGGCCAGCCTGAGTTGAGACCCCAAGTCACAACCTGCAGTCTAGGTAGCACAGCTTCTGAGACCATGGAGCCTTACTGTTCTTCTAATAAGCCCACTCCTCTACCACCAGTTAACTTCTCCCTTTTCCTCTTCTCTGTCCCCTCCCCTGGGCTGCTTCTCTATTCTTTCTGGAATCACTTACCCTGTGGCTTTGGGCCTGGTGCCCGCTTCAGTGGTGAAGGACGCTGGCTGGGGGTTTCAGTGGGGGAACCTGGGTCTGAGCGAAGCCACTGGGGGCCTTCTGGATGAGGCTCAAGGCTCTGGCCAGGGTCAAGGGACAAACTTTTAATCAGGATCCGATTTCCCTGTTGCAGCCCTGCAGAAAGGGAGAAACTGTGAAGTTACTGACTTTCCTCAAAGGAGACTAGAGAAATGTGTGTCTTCATGGGGTATCTGGATTGTTGCGCTTCCCTGAGCCCCTTTATTGGCCACATTGCTTTTCTGGGAAGCATCTACCCCACACCTCAGATGAGGAGGTAGGCTCAGATGAGACTGGCGGTTTTCATAAGAGTTCTTGGTGATTAATACATTGAATCCATGTACATCTGCAGGTATTATTACTATGGAGTTTACCCAGGATAGGGGTGGAAGCACTGTGAAGTTTGTGTATGTATTTGCAGCCTTTGTTTACATAGCCACAATGGAAATGTTCAGCACAAACCATTCTTCATCTTACTTTTTAAGGCCCTGAGAATATATGAAATTTCCTATCTGTAATTTTATACAGTGGACTATAATTAAAAATAATGAAACAGGTTGAGTGCAGAGTAGTATACCTGTTATCCCAGCTACTTGGGAGACAAAGGCAGGAGAATTGAAAGTTCCAGGCCAAGGATCAAGAAAACTACCAACAACAAATGCTGAAAAGTCTGTGGGGATAAAGGAAGTCTCCTGCACTGTTGGTGGGAGTGGAGATTGGTGCAACCAATGTGGAGGTCAGTCTGGAAATTTCTCAGAAAGCTGGAATTGGAAGCCCCATTTGATCCAGCTGTTCTTATTTTAGGCATATTCCCAGAAGAACTGAAAACTCATACCACAGTGATATATGTGTACCTATGTTTATAGCAGTACAATTTGTAATAGCCAGATCATGGAAACAACCTAAGTGTCCATCAGCTGAGGAATGGATAAAAAAGTCGTAGTATTTTTATACAGTGGAGTACTACTCAGCTATAAAGAATGATCACATTGAGATATTTATAAATAAATGGATGCAACTTGAGACCATACTCATAAGCGAAATAAATCAAACTCATATGTATAAATACCATATAGTATCCCTAGTGTAAGAAATGGTAAGAGTACATAAGAGTTTATGGTAATCATGATATTCCATTACATTGCTTTGAAGCCTTATAATTTTTGCATTCATTAGTTGGAATGATTTTATCCTGGTTTGTTTGATTTTATTATTTGTGATAGTGTGAACAACTATTTTGAAGAAAACAAGACATTATAATAGCCAGTGCTGACTTAATATCATCTTACTCTGAAGTCCTACCATGTTTTTGTTCTTCTGTTTCCACTGGTTCTATCATATTGTTATCTATTTGGATTTTATTATGTGTGATAGTATAAACAAATTTTCTATGGAAAATGAGATAATATAGTAGCCATTATTCATTCTCTGTTATTTGGTTCTGAATGCCCTGTAATACTTTCATTCTCTTTAATGGCTTTATACTATTTTGTTATGTTTGATACTATTGTATATGAAGTTATGCTCAACTATTTCAAAGAAAGAGACATTATGGTAGTTACTGTTAATTACGGGTTGTCTTGTGGTGAAATACTGTGTTGCTTACGTTGTTCTGTTCTGATCTGCTTTGTTATGTCCTCTTTTGTCTTAATTGCTTTAAAATTAAAAAAAAAAATTAAAAAAAGAAAGTTCCAGGCCAGCTTGGGAAATTTAGTGGAAACCTAATTCAAAATAAAAAGTAAAAAGGGGTGGGGATGTAGCTTAAGTGCAAAGGCCCTGGGTTCAACCTACAGTAAAAAAAAATGATAAAACTCATAATTCACAAGTTTTCTTTCTCTCTTTCTCTCTTTCTCTCTTTCTTTCTTTCTTTCTCTTTCTTTGTTTTACTTCTTAACATATCAACTTATTGAACATGGTAGCACATGCCTATAATCCCAGAACTCTGAGAGGCCGACGCAGAATTGCAAGTTTGAGGCCAGCCAGAGCAAGACTCTGTCTCAAATTAAAAATTAAAAAGGGATGGGGATGTAGATCAGTGTAAAAGCCCCAAATTCAATCTCTAGTACACCCCACACACACACCTAAATCCCACCTTCTCACCAATCCATACTACCCTCCTCTACTTCCACATCCATATTCTGTACACCCACCCACGAGCAAATCACTCTTAACGCACACACTCAGAATTCCATAGTTAATTAACAGAAACAACCTTAAAATAGCAACAGTAAACTCAGAAAAACAAGAAAAGCCTATTGGTACTGTCCCTCTTCCCTTATTATAAGTCCCATGTAAAGCCACCCATTTTGGGTCCTTGAGGAGGTTATGGTGACTATTAGGAGAGAAGATTCAGTCTAGGAGGCAGTGAGGGAAGCCCCCTAAGAGTTGACATGTGAGGAAAATGGGACAGGGCTTAGATGGCGCACGCTGGGATAGGGCTGTAGGAGTGCCTTAGGTGACATGGAAGTCATGTAAAGAGAGAGAAAGAGAAGAAAGAAAACTTTGAATTCCAGGTTGAGGAGTTGGATATCCATCCTGTGGCAGAAGAAAACCACAAAATCCCTTGTTTAGGGTGGGATGCAGGCAAGCAAGCTTGAGGACAAGAGAGTGAGCATTACTTAAAGAGTTCTCAGAGTCACCAATGGTCCATGCTGTCAATTATACTGTGCTGCAGCCACATGGCCTCTGATAACCACAAAGGGTCTGTTACCTTCTGTCATAGTTTCATAAATAACCAATCCTAAATGGCACCACTCAGTTACAAAAGCACATGGTGTAATTTACAGTTTCATACAACAGCATGCAAAGACTACACAAATTCAAACATCCAAATATATGTCATAACACCCCTGAAAGTAAAGTCACAAAGGCCTGCAATACAACCTTACATATAATCACAGTGCTGTGGTATCACACGTACCCTCAAATATGGTCACAAACAGTCATGAAAATACACATAGTAACACAACAAGATTTCTGTCATCTTATACACAAATCACATACCCATACACCATCATATATCTTGTTAATATATATCTCTTAAATGTGGTTCCACTGAGTTACAGAGATATACAGTGTAATTTACACTGTATCTCAAATTGCAGAATCATGGAGTATCATACACACTATAATGTACTTTTTGAGGGGGGAGGTTGAGATAGAGTCTTGGTATATAGTTAGGGCTAGCCACAAACTTGAGATCCTCCAGCCTCAGCCACTTTCAGGGGGGTTATGACATGTATTTGGATGTTTGACTTTGTGTGGCCTTGTACACAGTTGTGTGAAACAGTATAAATTGTGCTTTTATAACTGAGTGGACCATTTATGGTTGTGTACACCTGCAAACATGGTTACACCCAAAGACTTGAGCCAGAGAGGGTTAATTATACCAGGTCAGACACAACCTCACACAATAGCAAAACATAATAAAGTCACATGTTGTCATCTAATCAGAAGCACAGAGACAGAGTCAGACAGGTAGCATAATTTAATGTCATACTCATGAAAGAAACATGTTTATGATAAAAAAAAACTCTAACCAATCAACCAACCAAACAAAAAAACAAACAAAAAACATGGCCACAGTATCACAGGATCTTGGTTCAGAGATACACAGACATAGCACACTTATCTCCTAATCTAAATAGTCACAGTGTCACATGCTGCCTCTGTTGCAAAAACATACAGTATACACAGAGACATCTGTACTCTCTCTTACACAGTCACACAGGCATAAAAAGTCCAAGGGAATTGTAAATCTTCCTGTCTTAGAAGAAAGGAATAACTCTAGTCTTGGAGTTCTAGAAGCTTCCCGAGGCCTCTCACCTGACCCGCTCTAAGGCCAGTTGGGCAGGGTCAGGAAACTCAAATCAGGGGCTTTGCCCAGCCCCAAGAGAACATGGTGCCCCAGATCCTAGGGCAAGTACTCCTCTCTTTATATATACCTTACTTTGGGTGCAGTTTTGTCACTTCCCCACCTGAGCCGTCGAGGCCTGGCTAGGATGGAGGAGGTACTTCTCTTTGCTTCGCTGGGCTACTCACCCTGCCTTGCTCAGCACATTCTGGCTGGTTCTGCCCTGGGCTTGAGGTTTGGGAGGATGAATCACCTGGAGGCAGCACAGGTGGAGACACAGTTGGAAAGACACACAGCCAGAAAAGTTAAGAGACACAGAGAGTAACTGATAGGCCAAAGAGGCAGTGAGAAGAGCCAGCCACCCTGCCTGCCATGCAAACACAGCACTCCCTCAGACATACACACAGGTGCCAGAAGCCCCTTGTCAACTGTCTGGGCCTGTGGCACCTACCTGACCCTTCTCACTCCTGAAAGCAGGCAGGACCCGCCACAGTCTATAGCAGGGCAAAAGGGTTCCCATGTGCCTTCTTTGCTTCTGCTCCACTACTGATCCTCAGGGTAAAGTGACCAAACCATCTTCCATGGCCTTGTGCTAACACCCTCTGCTACCTCACCTAGAAGTCCAGAGGTGGGCCTAGCTCTCCATTCTTTCTGCCTCCCTGAAGGTAGTCTTACAGGATAGTAGGCTGAATGAAATTCCCAGATAGTGGGACACCCATAATGTCCCACATGAGGGGTTCAGGCACTGTCACTTCAGCTTTAGTGTGGAAATGAAATCAGAGAGAGAAAGAGGCAGTGACTAGCCCAAAGATTCAAGGCAAGTCAATGGCAGATAATCAGGCAGACTGGTTCTGGACACTGGCATCTTTTCTTAACTCTGCTCTCCAAAGGGAAGCTGAAAAGCGAGAAACCAGGGGGGACAAGTATGGACCCTAATGCTTTAGAAAATCATATAAAACCCTGCAGTGTGGCTAGTAAGAGGGATATCCCCAACACTGCCTATAGGGAGATGAACAATGGGTTCTAGTTTAGGAGTCTAGCTCTGACCAAGAACCAAGCTAGTTTCTACCTAGGGGGAAAAGATTCAAGATCATTCCTCTAACTCCTATTTCAGTTTCTATCCCTTCCCTTTGCCTACACTTCCTGGTTTCCTCCAGGAAAGTTTTCCAGTATTGGTTCCCTTCTCCCAGGGCTTGCTCCCTCAGAGTGACTGATTGTATTTTATCATAATAGGTTTTTTTGGGAGGGGTGATGATGGTGATAC